TTTTTTTCCCTTAAGTTAGAGATTATCAAACAACACACGTTACCAACTCTACCAACCAAAGCAGAAAACAACCACCAAACAACTGAGCTACTAATGCACTAAGGCCATTGCTGATCTTTCTGATCAACTCCTTGCATTCAGCCTACCCGCCCGTTTCCATCTGTCTTCCTTACACTTCAGACGGTAGCCCTTTTAGAGCCAGCACCACATTTATTAGGCTCTGCGCAAACAGAACAAAGCGAAGTCTATGAGATTATCATCATAAAATATTATCATGATAGGTGTTAGAAGAATTAGTTTCCAGTCAAAGAAGAATTAAAAGCATCTTAAAACAGTCTTCAAGTTCTGTAGAGCTGCAAGTTCTCTCTTATTTTTCAGGACCAAAAAAAGTTAAGTTAGGAGATCACAAAACAGGGTTGTAAAGTTCCCTGCAGATCATTATATGACTACACACCATCATTGTTTTCTGTTTCTTCCTCTGCTTCTTCGAGAGTCTGTAAAGACAAGAATTTAAAATTATCTTTTTTCAAGCAAAGAGAAACAAAAAACAAATGAGTACAATTTCTAAAAAGGTACCAAGTTACATTTTTGCTTATCCTCTTAAGGTGATTATTAGGGGGAAGGCAGCTGCAAATAGAAAATTACTCATGCCTGAAATGAAAACAACAGTTCTCTTAAGCTGCTCATTGCACTTAGTAAAACATTTATTCTGCTGAGCTTGAAGATGCTAATGAGATACGTCGGTACTCTGCTTTGGCCGTTCAAAAAATGAAGTTGTGCATCTTACTTCATCAATTCTGACTTTAAGCGCACCCCTTTTCTACGTATGCCAGCACCCAACCAACAAGAAGTACCACAGAAGCACCAAACCAATAAACCCTGACCCTGCGCAAGTTCCCCTGTTCGAAATATAACCATCGCTGCTTTTCCTCAACATGTAACTCTAAGAAGCAGGGAAAATAGAAGACTACTACCCTACCACATTGAACCGAGTCAAACTAATGTCTGTATTTTACTGGAACTCTGACGTTAAGAAATATCTTAGATTGCACAATACTGGGGGTTCCAACGCAACTACAAATCATCAGACGTTCCCTCTGACAGCCTCCCAACACTTATTAAATCATTAGTCATGGTAAAATTAAAACCAATTTAAAGTACTTCTGCTTGGGCATGTCTTCTGTTTCTTCCTCCTCTTTGATATGTATTCCGTCTGCATCATCCAAAGACACAGGAAATTTCCCTTCTTCTTCTTCCAGTTGCTGTCGTAACAGTGCTACCATCTCTCGATGCTTCTTTGATTTTTCGTGATTCTTCATGCTGTGAAGACCAGCAGATCGTTACTGCATGTAGCTCTGAGCAAACGCTGTTATATTTACGTCTAAATTAATAACAGGCCCATTATCCATCACCACCAAGTATGGCAAATTCTGCCCTGACAACGTCTCTACTGGAAGGATGACGCTGACCATTATGGGAAGTTAAAACACTTCTTTTAAAAAGTTAAAATCCAACACCCCCACCCCCAAATCCCAGCCACAAGCACTTACGCTTTCTCAGTTTTTAAGACTTTGTCACAAGCGGGGCAGTACAGATCATCAACAAATTCAGCTTCTTCAGTCTCAGCATTCAGTTTGTCTGAAGAGATCAGTGGGGATCAGAGAGACAAAGTCAGACGAGCAATCTCTGAGCAAGCTGCTCTTAAAGCCCCAGCAAGTAGTCACAACACCGACGTTCAACTTCTTTATTCTTACTGACACACAGACGGATCAAGACCATCTCACGAAATCATACGTTAGAATAAATTAACAGCTGTAGCTTGGTATCTTCTCATGTGCAACGGAAAACACCAGAGAGGGCCAGACTCCAGCCTAGCACCCTACAGCTGGAGGCGGAGAGCTGCACGACACTCAGAACTGTGAATCTGGGGCTTTAAGTGCAGCGAGCCGATACTCAGGCTGCAACAACTCAACGCGGATCACTCCCCCGCACCCCGTACCTTCCGTGAGTTGGGTCGCCTCTTCTTCTAATTCATCTTTATCACCTGATCCGTCTCCAAATTCCCTTTCATATTGTGCCTCCATCTGTTGCAACTCTCTCTCCAGGTCGGACATAGTTATCCAGCTCTGCTCTTTATACTGCTCAGCCAGCCTGTACGCAGAATACGGTAACTTCTACATTGCGTCCACGAGACGGGAATTACAGAAACATTATTTAAAACAGCACTTGTTTGTCTCTGCTATTTTAGGAGGAAAGTCCTGAGCACATTACGATGGAGCAAATAAATGTTTGTAGGGCCTGGAAATCTGAGCAGTTAACCTGTGATGTGAACGGGCACATCTACGCTGCAAGTAAAGAGGTATTAACGCAGGCGGGTCCTGCCTGAATTTCAGGCAGGAAACGCTACGCAGCGTGGTCAATATCAAGCCGACAGCGGGAAAGTCAGCTCAATCCTTAACAGCACAGCTGCTTTTACCTGCTGCAAGATCCAAACCCACAAACAGTACAGGACCACAAAAGCCACCAGCACGTTGCTCGTTGACTCTGTGCTGTGGGAGCGTACCAGCTCAGTTGGCCAAATCTAAGCGTGGCCCAAGTTATCAATCAGTGTACCACACTACAGCTGAATTTTGCTCCAGCTCGCTCCTGGACTCAGAATTATCAAGCCATTTGTCAGTAAATGCATTAAGTCCGCTTCATTCTCCCTTTAGAAAAAAAATAAAATATATAAACAGGTTAATTGTACATAATACATGCCATATCTATTATCATTATATCATTTTAATCATTACGCAATTATTTGGCAAGTGCACCCCTACTAAGAATTTAAGCTCCTTCCTCCCATTTGCAGGCAAAAAGCTCTTCCAGTTGGAAGAACAAATTGTGCTTACACTAGGGCGATCACCTCTTCCTTCTACTTAATTTTGGGAACAATAAAAGCATAAAAAAAAAAAAAA